AAAGGTTTCAGTCAGCTTGTAGTGGGTTTTGATGTCCACAAAAACCATGCTGGGTGTCCGTGCACAGGCTACTTTATATGTTTCTATATTTTACAGTCAATCTACATTGTAGGTCAAACGGCAATGTGGGATTCTGGAGGTTTTATACACCTGTAGCCTGCGAAAACATCTGTTTCTCCTAGCTCTTCGCCGCTGGGGATGTTTCGCAAGGAGGAACGTCTGCGACTCAGCCACAGAAATTCCATACTGATGACGCAAATCAATAATTACATAACGAATCCGGTAGTGATGGGGTTCCAAATATAAATTTGTCCAATTTAGAGTGTCTTCTGGTCAATTTTGGTGAAGTGCTGTGTTCATCTGCCAACAAGCTCCAGCAAAACTCAAATGCTTCTTCTAGAGAAGACTATATTCCAAAAATATTGACAGTTAGATTCTTCGTGTTTACATTTGACCTTTGTGGCCTTTTGTCTGTCATTCGTAAACAATAGCTAAAACAATGTAATTACTCCATCGACCAATCAGTGCTTCTGACTAGATTCCGAACACATTTTACGTCATCAGTATGGAATTTCTGTCGCTGAGTTGCAGATGTCCTCCTCGCAAAACATCCCCAGCGGGGAAGAGCAAGGAGAAATAGATGTTTTCACAGGCTTATAAACCTGGCGAGCTTTTTACAAATGCAAAATTTCCCCCAATGTCCTCTTGACTATTGCTATTCAATCTAGGATCTTTGTGAATTCTCCTAGAGGGTCCTAGGCAAGATGTGCCAGTTTTACCACCATAGCACCCATAGATAGTGCCAATACTGTGATGATATTAACATCTAGAACGATGATGTGATATTGTTAGTCTGCTTGTTCCACATATCACCAACGTTTGAGATCTAGACTAGGGTTTTGTGAAAATTGAGCTGTTTAAATCTTCGGTTTTGATGGTTTTCTGTGTGTTTTTTGGTTTTGGGTCATTTTCAGAGTGGTTTTTTGTTTTTTAATAGACCCCAATGCCCCCCTCTGTTTACAGCTATTTCGAGAAAGGAAAAAGTGCACGCGACAATCCCGAAGGTATTGTGGGTGGTTTTGAGTGCACTGTTCTTTAAAGAAATTTGAAAGAATGGCATGGGAGGCTACAGACATGTTTGCGAGTTCTAGGTTCAACAGCTACGGTCATTAGGAACAGTGTACTGATCATATCCCATATTAACTTTCGGGATTGTTGCGTGCACATTTTTTGGACATCCCTTCTCGAAATAGCTGTATCGTCCGGCCCTTTTTACGATTTAAACTTCCCGCCAAATTTCAGCCTCGTATATTTTTAGCCTTAAATCATACTGGGATGTCTTGGATCATACCTGCATCATTCTTAGCTTTTTCTTCGTGCTTTCGATTTTGTGGTATAATTCCTTCAGCTTTGACTAACAACTGAGTATTTAGTTCTTTTAATATAGCTTGTTTTGCCAAGACCCGTGTGGACTTGTCGTCTTTGGCAGCGAATTCTTTGGCCTTTTGCCGCGCAGTTGACACCGATAGCCGCTTCGGCTTTGTTGGCGTATTGTAACGCTCATTTCTCACCCGCTTATCTTGTCTACCTGGGCTATCTTCTTGCATTATCAGCTTTTAAAGAACCAGTGATTTGCAGTTTCGATTCGAGCAACCCGCCATTTTTTTCCGACGTACTATCGACAACCCAACGAAGATTTCCGAAAAGGACGGAAACCTCTCGAAGAGCTTTGCATGATGGGACTCAATGAGGGTTATATTGGAGCGTGGAGTAAACAAAATGGCGGGCGATGAATCGTGACACCTCGTCATGGTAATTACTATAAGGTCTCTCTGCATTTTATACGCAAGGGATCTATTTCTAATATAGGGATAGATTTACAGCATCCGTCACTGTTTCCAGAAAAGCTATGGAGAACAAAACGGAAAACAAATAGAATTTCCGATAAATTTTAGGATCAAGCCGTCGAATTTTACTCCGGCGTGTTCCGCAACTCACGATAGGAATATTTCAACGATGTTGAGCTCCGCAAAGAATTATGAGGTTGTCTCGAAAATAATGGAGGAAAACGCCAGTGAATCAGAGGAAAGAAAAGATCCTCCAAATGATCTTCACTGCCATGAATCGTTACTAACAAACTCAAATTTATCAGATGATGTGGAAACTCCAGACGCCCAAGTTGTGAGCTCTGATGTTTCAAAAACTGCTTCGAGTTTCTCCGATAAGCCAATACCAGAGGACTTTGTTAAAACACGGGACATTAATTCTGGAGAAGAGGAATTTAACGGAAATCATACGATGATTGGGACACATGAGAAAACTAATGAGAACTTAACCAGTGTTTCCGGGTTACCCCCGGAATTTTCGAAACCATCCAGCGTTTCTAATGAATTTCCCCCAGCAAAAAAGATACACAGTTCGTCAGCCAGTGGTTCTTCTGAAAATCTCCTTGGTTCAAATCATCGCAGGGATCCTTCTCTCGAGTCTGACAGCGATGAGGTGTTTCCACTTGTTGCTCGCAAAGCTAACTCGTCGGACGATTTGCTTGATAAAAACTTTGTTAAATGGGCAAGTGGTGGTGAAAATTCACTTAAAAGCAAACGCGACAAGGAAGGCGGACAATCGTCTGACTCGCCTATTAGTGACGTTGAATTTAGTGCGTGCTCTTCTGTTACTAGTTGTACTGAAGACAGTGGAATTAGCTCCACTGTCAGAGATGATGAGTTGGAAGAAATACCACTCAATAACTCTTTTTTGCTTTTGTTTTAGCACCAAATGTCTTGAGTCAAAGTTGACCTCTGACAACAACCTTTCTATATCTTGTTTAGGATACCTGCGGGCTTTGAGGCATTGTTTAACATTCACAAGGCACTCTTCAAATGTTTTTTTTTTAAAGAGTTTGTTCTGAGCAATCTTATTGCTTTGCCTTTAATGAAACCTCTTTTTACTCCCAGAGGGTGGCACGAGTTAAAGTGTGTATATTGAAAGGTTTCAGTCAGCTTGTAGTGGGTTTTGATGTCCACAAAAACCATGCTGGGTGTCCGTGCACAGGCTACTTTATATGTTTCTATATTTTACAGTCAATCTACATTGTAGGTCAAACGGCAATGTGGGATTCTGGAGGTTTTATACACCTGTAGCCTGCGAAAACATCTGTTTCTCCTAGCTCTTCGCCGCTGGGGATGTTTCGCAAGGAGGAACGTCTGCGACTCAGCCACAGAAATTCCATACTGATGACGCAAATCAATAATTACATAACGAATCCGGTAGTGATGGGGTTCCAAATATAAATTTGTCCAATTTAGAGTGTCTTCTGGTCAATTTTGGTGAAGTGCTGTGTTCATCTGCCAACAAGCTCCAGCAAAACTCAAATGCTTCTTCTAGAGAAGACTATATTCCAAAAATATTGACAGTTAGATTCTTCGTGTTTACATTTGACCTTTGTGGCCTTTTGTCTGTCATTCGTAAACAATAGCTAAAACAATGTAATTACTCCATCGACCAATCAGTGCTTCTGACTAGATTCCGAACACATTTTACGTCATCAGTATGGAATTTCTGTCGCTGAGTTGCAGATGTCCTCCTCGCAAAACATCCCCAGCGGGGAAGAGCAAGGAGAAATAGATGTTTTCACAGGCTTATAAACCTGGCGAGCTTTTTACAAATGCAAAATTTCCCCCAATGTCCTCTTGACTATTGCTATTCAATCTAGGATCTTTGTGAATTCTCCTAGAGGGTCCTAGGCAAGATGTGCCAGTTTTACCACCATAGCACCCATAGATAGTGCCAATACTGTGATGATATTAACATCTAGAACGATGATGTGATATTGTTAGTCTGCTTGTTCCACATATCACCAACGTTTGAGATCTAGACTAGGGTTTTGTGAAAATTGAGCTGTTTAAATCTTCGGTTTTGATGGTTTTCTGTGTGTTTTTTGGTTTTGGGTCATTTTCAGAGTGGTTTTTTGTTTTTTAATAGACCCCAATGCCCCCCTCTGTTTACAGCTATTTCGAGAAAGGAAAAAGTGCACGCGACAATCCCGAAGGTATTGTGGGTGGTTTTGAGTGCACTGTTCTTTAAAGAAATTTGAAAGAATGGCATGGGAGGCTACAGACATGTTTGCGAGTTCTAGGTTCAACAGCTACGGTCATTAGGAACAGTGTACTGATCATATCCCATATTAACTTTCGGGATTGTTGCGTGCACATTTTTTGGACATCCCTTCTCGAAATAGCTGTATCGTCCGGCCCTTTTTACGATTTAAACTTCCCGCCAAATTTCAGCCTCGTATATTTTTAGCCTTAAATCATACTGGGATGTCTTGGATCATACCTGCATCATTCTTAGCTTTTTCTTCGTGCTTTCGATTTTGTGGTATAATTCCTTCAGCTTTGACTAACAACTGAGTATTTAGTTCTTTTAATATAGCTTGTTTTGCCAAGACCCGTGTGGACTTGTCGTCTTTGGCAGCGAATTCTTTGGCCTTTTGCCGCGCAGTTGACACCGATAGCCGCTTCGGCTTTGTTGGCGTATTGTAACGCTCATTTCTCACCCGCTTATCTTGTCTACCTGGGCTATCTTCTTGCATTATCAGCTTTTAAAGAACCAGTGATTTGCAGTTTCGATTCGAGCAACCCGCCATTTTTTTCCGACGTACTATCGACAACCCAACGAAGATTTCCGAAAAGGACGGAAACCTCTCGAAGAGCTTTGCATGATGGGACTCGATGAGGGTTATATTGGAGCGTGGAGTAAACAAAATGGCGGGCGATGAATCGTGACACCTCGTCATGGTAATTACTATAAGGTCTCTCTGCATTTTATACGCAAGGGATCTATTTCTAATATAGGGATAGATTTACAGCATCCGTCACTGTTTCCAGAAAAGCTATGGAGAACAAAACGGAAAACAAATAGAATTTCCGATAAATTTTAGGATCAAGCCGTCGAATTTTACTCCGGCGTGTTCCGCAACTCACGATAGGAATATTTCAACGATGTTGAGCTCCGCAAAGAATTATGAGGTTGTCTCGAAAATAATGGAGGAAAACGCCAGTGAATCAGAGGAAAGAAAAGATCCTCCAAATGATCTTCACTGCCATGAATCGTTACTAACAAACTCAAATTTATCAGATGATGTGGAAACTCCAGACGCCCAAGTTGTGAGCTCTGATGTTTCAAAAACTGCTTCGAGTTTCTCCGATAAGCCAATACCAGAGGACTTTGTTAAAACACGGGACATTAATTCTGGAGAAGAGGAATTTAACGGAAATCATACGATGATTGGGACACATGAGAAAACTAATGAGAACTTAACCAGTGTTTCCGGGTTACCCCCGGAATTTTCGAAACCATCCAGCGTTTCTAATGAATTTCCCCCAGCAAAAAAGATACACAGTTCGTCAGCCAGTGGTTCTTCTGAAAATCTCCTTGGTTCAAATCATCGCAGGGATCCTTCTCTCGAGTCTGACAGCGATGAGGTGTTTCCACTTGTTGCTCGCAAAGCTAACTCGTCGGACGATTTGCTTGATAAAAACTTTGTTAAATGGGCAAGTGGTGGTGAAAATTCACTTAAAAGCAAACGCGACAAGGAAGGCGGACAATCGTCTGACTCGCCTATTAGTGACGTTGAATTTAGTGCGTGCTCTTCTGTTACTAGTTGTACTGAAGACAGTGGAATTAGCTCCACTGTCAGAGATGATGAGTTGGAAGAAATACCACTCAATAACTCACGATTTAGCCCTGAATTGTACGAAGAAATGTCTAGACTTTCTTTGGATGAATCAGTTGCTGCATGGATTCCTAAATCCTCAAACACTTATGCACCCAGCCCTAATGCAAAAGCTGGAACTGACATAGATGGCAGTAGTTCACAGAAGCAAAGTAAACTGAAGTAAGTATACGCTTTATTATTTCTTTCCCTCTTTCTTTCTTTTTTAGGGTACACACATACCGTAAAATTATTTCAGAAAGGAATTTAAGCTTGTACAATGAAACTGAAAGGGAAAAAATTTTGTCACTCTTTCCCCTCCATCACAACAAGAGCTGTCACTGAGATTTCAAGTTGCTGGGTGCATGTATATGCAATTACAGCATAGCAGAATTGTGAATCTGTTTATAAACTGCTGGGAAGTTCTTTTGGTTCTATTTTCCTTTGTATATATCTCTCATGAAAGAAGGAGGGATTCACGCTCATAGTACATGTAGAGGAAATCCCAGGCTCCAGTCCTTGGTGGCATCCCTGACACTACCTACCTAGTCCAGAAAAATGGCATTGGGAAATTCAGTTTTGCAGATTCAATAATTGATTATCTTAATTATTAAGGCATCCAAAAATAAAGAAATCCTCAATCATCTGCCTGTAACTTTAACCATGTAGAACCTAGAACCCCTCTTGGGTAACACATCAAGGGGGGATTGGGGGTGGGGGGCAAGCTTATTTTTGTGATGCCGTGATCAACTATTTTTGGTGGCTATGAATAATTATCATGGCCAACACAATTATTGTGATGTACCGAAAAACTGTTGGGTGAATCATGATTGAAGTGGTCTCCTTGAAACCTGAACTGCCAAAATCTTCGATTGTGTACACGTGCATTGAAGGTCAATTGAACAAATTCAATCTTTAATTAGGCCAGATGACCTTGACTAGTACAAATGTATCTGGTGGCTTGATTGAACTTCACTTTTGAGTCTTTTGATGTAACTTCACACTTCAGTGCACTCAGACTCACCTACAGCTGGCTTCCCTTGGGAATTTATTGGTTCTTAAAACTCTAGAAATATAATCAAAGCACTCTGTTTTACAAAATGGGACTAACATAATGTTTTAGACATTTGGTACGACCTCTATTTTTGAGAAATGTGAAAACGTAAATGTTTGTTTCATGACTCATGAGACACAAAATTGTTGTTTGTGAACTTGTGATGAGACTTCAACCCTCCCACCCCCCTTAATCCCCCTTATCAAAGAACTGCTGAAAAAAGAACTTCATTTGAATGGTCACAGCATAGGATTTTTTCCTAATTACATATACATGTAGGAAGAACTACGTTGCATGTACAAGTCCTTATATCTGATGTTAGGAGACTGTGAAAAGGCGTTTAACAGTGCACCTTATCCTCATTTCACTTACAGTGTATGTTACTTTAATAATGATTTTGTGCTTCCATGGTTGTGTCGTAGAGGCCTGTTTTCAAGATCATCTCAAAAGGAGCCTGTTCAGGGCTGGAAGTTATTTGGCAAGGTTCCAGCGAAAGACGTCAGGGATAACAGTAGTGAACCTCACTATCAGGCATCCTCTTTTGATAGAGGTAACCCTAGATGGTTAAAACTGTCCATCAATTTATGTATCTTTACAGTTTTATGATGCACTTAATTAATTTACTTGTGGTACATGTATGTACTTGTAAGAATGCTTAAAAAAATTTATTTTGTCTTCTGGAAAAGCTCACTACAATCTTTAGGCCGTACGTGTACATTTAGTTTTCGCTGGTGATCGAGTTGGATAATGTTATTCTTTAGTGAGAATAGTATTCTGGTTGGTTGGTTGTAATCACTGGACTGGAGTCACAAACAAAAGCACTCAAAACATTTGGAAATGAGCACTATGATATGTTTTATTCTCCTTCTCCTCCCTTAGCCTGATATTGTGCTTCCCTAGCTCCCTCTGTGTTTTAATCTCATGGCAGGAAGAGGACATGATACATTATTTTATTTGTCAGATCACACATAAAAAAGGATCTGTTCCTTTTGACGGCTCAAGATAAAAGTGTATCAAGCGTTCATTTTCCCTCTCTTCTTGAAAAAAAAAAAAATAGAATGCCTAATCACAGGTTACATGTACATCTGCCTCTGATTATGAAAATCTTACCCCTACTTGCGAATCCAATTGCAACTTTTTCTCCACGTCATAAGTGTTGTTATGACTCCAATTACTGGTCTCTGACTCTGATTCCATTGTTAGCATCTTAGACATAACTTAAGGCCCATTCCAGAATTGTGATTCTAGGTTAGTACAAAAAATGCTTTGTACTTTGTAGAGATTGAAGTAAATGAAAATCAACCCCTTGTTTAGGCTTTTAATAACTGGGTTTGTGGTTGAGTTTGATGATGATATTTATTTATAAAGATTGCTTTTATTGTTTTTTGTAGGAGACGTGAAGCGCAAGTCTTTTGGTGACAAACCATCTGTAACTGCTCCAAATTTCAAACCCAAGTTCCCTTCTTTGAGAAAGAAACCTACTACTGGAAGCTCCACTACAGCCCTTATCTTCGAAAATAGGCCAAGGTATGAAGCAAACATGAGAAAAAGTGAATATGTATCCTTAAATTTCAGGCTGCTTACATGAACTTGTAATTCTGACTAACAGTAGATTGGAGAATTGTCAATGTCATTCTTTTAAACCCAAGTCTCATGTGTAGCTGAGAAGTTAGAACACTGGGGTTGAAAACCAGAGGTCCTGAGTTCAAGTCTCTAGCCAGCTGGTCTCCCACTCTTAGTTGGGATTCATAGCCCTGTAAGGGAGACAATAATTTTTTAAATAAAAAAATTATTTACTTTTATGTTGGTCTGACAAGAACTTTCCCAAGCTAATGAGGATCACCACAGTGATACAATGTAATGTAGAAATCTCTTTCTATCATCACTCAGTTTATGTTTATACTATAATTATTATTAAAAACTGAATCATTGGATAATGCAATTCTAGAGCTCTGATTGGCTTAGCCATCATGGTATATGAGCCATTATACCATGCTCTTTAAATATGGTAACTGTATGCTTCTGCTCAACATAAAAAACAAGTTGAAAATCAGTTGTTTTCACAAAAAAAGTCAGGAGAATTCTCAATATTTTGTGAGATTTTTAATAAAACAATTACTCCACATGTGCTTGTTGGATATGAGATGATTACAGCCAACAGGGTCTTATTGGCTATCTGCCATCTCATATCAACCGCGTACTCATGGAATAATATTGTTATACATACACAATACATATATTGTATTACATCAAGTGAGCTCAGTTGTACAGCTGTAACAGTTGTTATGGGTTACAGTCCTTAATGACAGAGCCTCCGGGCCACTTTAGAAGTGCTAACTATTGCTTCCTTGTCAAAAATTATTTTAAGTAAAATGTCCTCTTGGGTTAAAATAGTTGTTTTTGCTGATTATTTCTGTTATACCCAATTGCAGCAACCTCCCAGCTAAATCAGCATCTGAGGAGAAAAAGCACAGAAAACAATATGAGGCAATGGTGGCTGAGGCAAAGAAAAAGGGTGAATATAAAACTACAGTCAGCTCTCTCTAAGACAGACACCTTTGGAGCCAGTATAGTGTACCAAGTGTTCGTCTTAGAGGGGTGTCTGTCTTGTAGAGAGACAAATAAAGATAAAAACATAATTATTTTTACAATTTTTATGTAAAGAAAGGCAGAGCCTGACTTTAGGTGTCTGTCTTAGCAAGGTGTTTGTCATATAGAAGTGTCCATTCCTTATGTAGTTGTAGGAAAAAATGCAAACAAATCATTACAGTTTTAGATTATGTGATCAACATTGTTTTGGAATAAAGAATAATTGAACTCGAGGATATTGTTCTTTTGGCAATGCTCAAAGCTCAATGTTCCAGAAATTATTGTGTAGGTGTTTTGAAGTGAAATCTTGTTGTGAAAATTAGTCTTTTTTCTTGGTTTCATGTACTCAATAGCTTTTCTTTTTTGTTATTTCTTTGCTGTCATAGAATTAAGAGACATGAAGCGTCAGGAACAGAAATTTAGAGAAAAGTGTAAACAGGAGGATGGAATTGTGTCTGCAGTCTCTTTATGGGCAAATGAGATTTTGCCCAACTTTGACACTATGTAAGTTCTCTTTCATTCTTTTGTTTACAAGCTGTTTACTGTTTTTTCTTTTTTACTATCGTGTGTTTCAATTCAAAGAAGTTGCTAAGGTATTTCTCAGAAATCTTAGATACACTAGTTTTAAATGAGTGTAGACTGAATTGTCAGAGAGGTGAATTTGTAGTCCTCCAAGTTTAATAAAGACCTGAAATAATATTGTTGATCATCCAAGTGTTTTTGCAGAGAACAACAGAGAAACTTTACAAAAATGTACACATGTGCACATGCAGAGGGAATTTTGATCAGTTACTGCTCTAAAACAGAAAAGAAATAATTTGTGTTTGGCAACAGTGCATTGCAGAGTAATGAGTAGTTGTGATTTTTTTCCCCTACCCTCTTTCATTTATAGGCGGCACTCAAAGAAGGCAAGAGAGCTTTGGTGGCAAGGTCTTCCTCCAAGTGTACGTGGAAAGGTCTGGAAACTTGCTATCGGAAATGACCTGCACATTACTCAGGGTATGTTACCATTGTATTAAAAATTAGCCTAAATCAATTTCAGGTTGTTCTAAAGCAGTAATTTCTTTAATAACATCCTTTACAATGCACTCAAAAGATGATAGTTGTGTATTGTACTTGTATGTATTGTTGTTTCAAGTGTTGAAGTTATTTCAATTCTTGTAGTGAAATAAACTGAGACTTTTGACTACTAATTGAGGTTTTCACTTCTCCTGTCGCAGAATTATTTGACATCTTTCAATCTCATGCATATGAGAAGCTATTCACAACAAGGCTAAACAAGAAGAAAAACCAGACTCAGACTGTCGCAGAGCTGCCAGCCAGTGATCACCCTGTTGTCAGCAAAGCTCACACAGTTGAGCTTATCATGATGGATGTGTCACGAACGTTCCCTTCACTTTGTATTTTCCAGGAGGTAAATTTTCTGCTCAGTTTCTTCTCATCTTAAGTCTCCTCAGCTTAAAACAATAAAAACTATCAGTGATAATACCACACTATTTATGACTTTATCTATAGTTGCAACACTATAGTCAGCCATTTCAAGCACTCCTTGAAAATGTTAGCTGTTTCTCTTCAAGACCTTTACGGTATATCTCTGTCACATTAAACCGTGGCAAAGGAATCATAGTATTATGCATGAGGAGGCAATGCCGACTACGAAGTAGTGTAGCTTTAAAAAGCAAACGTCCCATTTACTGAGAACTTTTGTCTTAGCTTTACTACACTAATAATTAGAATAAAAGGAACGAAAATGAATGCCAGCGTAGTTATAGTGTTAAGCCTGCACAGTTTGCAATAAAAATATTTTTAAAAAGGTACTATGTGCACAGTGGCTACACAAAAGATATAATGTCTAACTTTTACATGTGTAATTTGATATTTTCCATTTGATCTGCTAGTCTCAGGTTGTCACTGGTGTTTATAAATATGAACAACATGTATGAATAGTGACAACGTGACATAAGATTGTTATTTTGTATTAGGGTGGTCCATTCCATGATGTTCTTCACAGCATTTTGGGAGCTTACACCTGCTATCGACCTGATGTTGGCTATGTAAGTTGTTCTGTGTTATAGGTTAATTTTAGAATCCTTAACTCGATCTCTCCACTAGCTCAAAGTTATTTAGCTTGTTCCAGGTGTTTAGATATTGATTGTGGGCCGGGCACAAAAAGATGTGAGCGGGAAGAACAGAGATGGGGTCCTTCTCCCTTTCCGATCTCCCTCCTTATTTTTTCTCTGCTCTCTGACTAGGTTAGAAGTTATTTCGCTTTTCCTGTGACTTAATTTTCAGTAAGTTTACCTTGCTGACTCAAATTCTGGCTAAGTCAAACTACTTTATAGAGAACTGTTTGTACAGTTTAATACCTAATTCAGTGTTATGCTTGTAAAGAGGCAATTGACTGCTCAAAATCATTATTTAGTCCTAACTATTCTTTCCTTATTCTCTTTTTTAGGTTCAAGGCATGTCATTTCTTGCAGCAGTGTTGTTGTTGAATATGGATCCATCTGATGCATTTATTTGTTTTGCAAATCTTCTCAACAAACCTTGCCAGTTAGCTTTCTTCAGAGTTGATCATCCCATGGTAATGTCATAGTTAAATTGAGTGTGTTGTTATTTTAACTTCAATGTGTCTGGCGGGACTTTAAGGTGTCCTTCAATAAACTCTCTCTCTCTCTCTCTCTCTCTCTCTCTCTGTCTCTCAATCTGCCTGCTCTTTTATCCGTTGATTGCCATGAAAATTTGCTCGCAGCCTGCTTGGTGGCAACTGACACTAACCCTTCATTTTGTTTCCCCATTAGCAACTTAATTTTTTTGCCTTGTTGTTCTGTAGATGATTGCATACTTCGCTGCCTTTGAAATCTTCCTCGAAGAGTTTGTCCCCAGACTTCACACGCATTTTATAGAAGAGAACTTCACCCCTGATATGTATCTCATTGATTGGTAAGGCTTGATGAGCTCAAATAAATAAGACACTGCATGCTATTACCACCAAGGTCAGGGTGTAAACCCTCTCATACCTGAATTTTTCATGTAGTTTTCAGCTATTTAGGCTGATCTTAAAATTCTGTAGATCACGTCTACTTTCTTTTAGCAAATAATACAATAGTAGTCACTACTTGCTCAAAGGGGCTTCATTTATCCTTTATTATTACTATAATAACAGATTACTTAATTATGACCCCTTTTTTAGAATTGGAGGTACATTTACCTGTGCATCTAAAGGGTCAAATTGTTACATTGGCGTCCGTAGACTCAAAAGTCAGTCTAAGTTCAAGTCCTGCCATTACTCTCCAGTTTTCCCCAGTTCAACCGCTTTATCACGTTCGTAAATAGCTAGCTGGTCCTTCTTACTACATGTACGTTCATTTTAGATTAAAATTTGAATTTATTATTTGTTCTAAGAAGTTGGTCTGAATATTTCAATTTTATGTTTTACATATATTTGTATAAATCAATCTTTATATCTTCATGTGTGTTAATTTGCAGGACATTCACGTTGTTTAGCAAGTCATTACCCCTGGATGCTGCCTCTCGAGTATGGGATGTGTTTTGTAGAGATGGTGAAGCATTTCTATTCCGGGCTGCACTTGGTGAGTACCCTGCACTCTTAAGCACTACTAATAGTGGCCAAAAACAAATTTAAAATTTTAATTCCTTGTTGTTGAATCATAAAAAATGAATAGTCCAGTTTCGAGTTCGCTGTGACTGCTTAATTAAAGAAGTGAAGATGCGTTTTTTACAGGCTTAGCCTGATCCATCTGAAGTAATATATTAACAAATTCCAGCAAGAAAAACACCTCTTTATTACCCTGTCTACTGTGTGTATTCAAATTTCAAACACTTACTTCCCGGAATTTCTGAATATTTTACTTTATGTCGAAGCAAGCCCTGTATGATTGTGTCGTTAATGTTTGTATTCAGCGGTAATTTTTAATTCGAAACTGGACTATTGCACTGTGCAGAAGTTCTGCCAAACAGGTTTCATTTGATTGGTGGCAGTACAGAATTTTCTCCACTGATTAGAAAGTAAGAGTAAAAAATAATTTTGCCATATTAATAAGAATTAATATAATATGTAATTTAATATCTATTTATTTATTCTATTTTATTTATCTATTGATTGATTGATTGATTGATTTGAGCACTGCTACTCTCCACTGTATGTTAAGGTCTTTACACGTAGTTTTTACTACTTTTTAAACTTCTTTCAACTGATTGGGTTTTTTTCTTTAGGGATATTAAAATTCTACCTAGAGGACTTGTTGGGTATGGATTTCATTCATCTTGGCCAGTTTCTTTCTAAGCTACCAGATGACATCCCAGTTGCATCTCTTTTCCAAACAATCGCGTCAGTTAGTCTCACGGAACAAAAATTCACGCAGACACTGGCAACACAGAAGGAAGTGGCAGCCCAGATCAAAAACGTTACTTCTACCACGAAATAAAGGAGATTATTCAAGAAGCTTCACCATAATTCAACATAATACATGTATGATAATAATTAATGTCTTTCTGGGAGCTGGACTCATGTCCTTGACGTACGTTCGGGCCAAGTGTAGTGGTAATTAACCAGAAATATATCCTTTCGAAACTCCAAGTTAGTCCATGTGCCCTTGTTGTTTCACGAAGGATTTGTTTTAAAGACAGGACGTTTTCGATGGCTTTCCTTGAGTTTGTTCTTACAAAAGTAGGCTGAGTTTGATCGTCCGGGTGAACATAGTCCTGAATAGGACTGTTGTTGTTGACGGTGACTGAGGTTTCGACAACCTGTGCTGTAGTCATCTTCAGAGTCAAAGTGAGTTGTATCACGTCAGTTGATGGTATTAAAGGTTATTGACCTGACTGGTCAATTACGTCGCGATGTTATTGGTCGTCTGTCAGTTAAGCGGTGATGTTATTGGCTATTAAGACTCGTAGTCAGTAATTGGTGCGCACCAATTACTGTCGAAACGTCAGTCACTGTCAACAACAACAGTCCTATTCAGGACTATGTTCACCCGGACGATCAAACTCAACCTACTTTTGAAATGACTCCTGGGTTCAAACCTTTCACAGTTTGTTCTTAGTGAGCTCAAACAATAACCAGCGATCAGGCTTTTTTTTCACCTTCTCCCCTCGTCTCCCAAAGAAAAAAGAAAGAAAGCCCACCAGATCGCAGCTTACTCAAGCAAAGAGCCACGCACGTCATCGGGAAGAAGACTGTTTTTATTCTTGGGCAGTAGTTTTGTCCATATTTTTGGTCAAATCGTCGTTATGAGTCTAAAGGCTTAAGACTTAAACTGAGAAGGCTTGTTCACATCATCGTGAGCTCAGAAGAAACAAAGATGACTCTCGCCTGAAATCAATCTGTTATTTGAAAACTTTCCCAGTTTTGCACATCCATCATTATTTGCTTTTGACTTTCCTGAACATCGTTTTTTTCCTTCTCCAGTTTTGAGTGTTCGTGTTAATATTTTGGTCAATTCTCTGACAGTCGGCAATCCACGGGCCACACAGAACCAAGACACAAACGACCTGCAATATCCTAGTTTTCTAGAATCAAATCATAGTCGTTCATTCCCAATCGTTCCAATCATAATCGTTCCCAATAGACAGAAAAATCTATTTTGGTAATTCAGTGTAGATGTTGAAAAATATTAAATGAAATAAATATGATTGCTACATAGGAATATTATAAGTACTTCAAACTATTTTTTATTTATATTACCAACACTAACAGCACATTGCGCCGATTTTTGGAGTTGAGTGAAATGATCACAAATGCCACCAGCCACAGGGCCTGGTTCCTAAAAGGCCGATTACCGCGAATGTGAAAGTGAAATTTTGATCCCTGATTGTATTTACCCTTCCATATATTTTTAGAGTATTATTCTTATAACTGATCTCGGATTAAAGGGTGAACGATATTTCATTAGATCGAGTTACAAGCATATTTCCAGACAGAAAAACATTTATTAGAATTTGGGTTTGTCGTAGGTTAACTCAACCGTCTTTCGAGGCACAGGACATTCTGCAATGCATGTACTGAAACCCGGAACACGTCAAATGATCAAAAATGAATAAAACAAAGGGAAATTTTGCGGATTTTCTGAGAGTGTTTACGAGAGGTACGGGGTGTTTTGGCGTACCGGGTTGTAGTGCATACCCTTCCGCAAAACATATTTGAAAATGGAAGGAACAATAGGAGTGCATACTGTGCTCCTTGGAGATGTGGAAAAAGGGATTCACTGTAAAGTATAATATAAACATTTGTTATATTTGGTTTTTTTTTTGTTGGTTTATATGTTCAGATAGAGTCCTTTTTGTACTCATGAAATTATTTTGTTGTAATAATGTGTTATTGTTATACGCGATGAAACTGGCTTTGTTTTTTGTGGCGTCGGTCATGAATCCAACCATGTAATTCAACCAATGTTTTCTGTCAGGAGCCCATTGTCTTGGGCTCCTGTTTCTGTATGTTTTTACTTGGTAGAGTCCATATTTTGGTACAAACAGATCTAACGCAAGGGTTATGAATTTGAGGGGCTTTCCATGAAAATTAATGTTAATGTACATGTGTAAATAAAAGTCTACTAGAATTGTTTTTATTTTGTTGTCGTTGAGTTTACATTTCATTTTCATTCTTAAAGGTCCGACGGCTATGCCACGCTGGTGAACCCCAATAAGGGCGAAACAGCTGTCCATGGCTGCCACTGCCCGGGTGATATGGCTGCGCGCATGCGTGAAGTTGGTGTGTGTGCCCCTTCCTTTAAGTTTGTCCCTTTTAAATTTTACCCGGTTTTCAACGAACTGGTCCCTTAATCTACGATACAACTAGCCTACGTATAGCCGCACCCTCCCCCCCCCCGCCCCCCCGACGAAGGAAAAACGAACAGGGCAGTGAAAGTCCTGACAGCTTGTAATTCTTAAAGTGAAGCGGAACAATTCTTTGATAAGCGTTCAACTTCCTTTATTATTAGAACATGACTTTCCTGTCACATGTTTACGTTTAGAGCTTTTTCCGCCTCTTTTTATAGTTCGGCATTATCTCGCATTTGCGCTGAAGCTGTCAGCCCGGACTCTTAGTGTGTGTGGCAGGCTTGGGTTTTAACAAAACTGGCGCCTCGTGCTACACAGGCAAGCTTAGAAGGAAGCTGTGCTTGATAGCTAAGCTATCAAATGATCTCTCACTTTAAAGTTTCAGTCAGAGCTGCTTCGCGGAAGTAATCCCGGAATTTTAATTAGTTACCTAACCTGACGTTACAGGGGCATTCCCCGGTTCAACCCATTCAATCACGTGCAGCATTGTAACTTATAGCTCCTTCTTTGGGTCGATTAAAGTTTGGGTGGAATGTTCTAGGCAGCATCGACTCACAGGCCTCGCATCGCCTTTCGTTCAGTTACAATACTAGTGCTAAACTGAACGACCAAAAACAATTCTAAGGAGTTCAACATGAATCTTACCAACAAGTGTCATCTTTCACCAGTCCACGCTATTGCTTTGATGTCGACAAATTCCCTGACTGTCGTGTTGGGTACCTTTGGCAATGTACTTGTCTGCATCGCAGTTATCACTATCCCCCGACTTCGTAAAATTTCCAACTTCCTCCTTTTCAGTTTAGCAGTTGCTGATTTGATCGTCACTGTGGCTTGCGCGCCCTTGCTTGTGGCGATGATTGACAAGTTAGCATTCGCTCATGAGTGTCCAACGAATCTGGAACTTGCTTACTACAATACCGGCAATCTGTCTTTTACCTCGTCAATTTTACACCTTGCAGCTATCAGCGTTGATCGTTTCCTTGCAGTTGTCTTTCCTTTGCGACACAACAACATAATGAAGACGTATGGTTTGAAAATCATGCTGGTGGTTGTCTGGGGCATTGCCATTTTGTTTACGGCCATTCGGGTAGTGGACGAAACATCAATTCTAGCCTTTGTTTTATTCGTTTTAAGTTATCTCATCATCACTGTGTCGTACGCTTCAATTTTCATATTTCTGATGAAAGAGAGAGGGAAAAGGAAATACTTAAGAGGAACAGAATCCAGACCGGATGCGATCACTTCCAAAGTAGAGAGGCGGGTCGCTTTCACTTTGGCGATTGTTATCCTTGTCTTCAGTGCCTGTTGGTTTCCGCTGATTATAACATTTTTTGCTTCGGGCAAACATCTTGTAAAGGTACATGGCCCTGCATTTATGTGGATAAGGACTTTAGCAGTATCAAACTCCGCTATGAACTTTCTGATTTATAGCTGGAGGATCCGGGACTTCCGAGAAGCTTACGTCAAGATATTCCGCAGGGTGATAGGGCGAGGAAGTGCATAGTAACGCCTCTTGCCTCTGAACCTGAATCGAAAGTCTGACCGCGGTCGTTTTGATTCAAGTCGTTTCGATACGACCTCAAGCCCGAGCCTCAAGCACTACAATTGCACACACAAAAAATGTTGATCACTTCAAGTATAGCTTGCAGATAAACAAGGGAAACATTTGGGATGAATATTCTTCGTTCTTTCAGCCAAGTACGTGAAACTATTTACACCTTCACTGACTGAACTTCTATCGAAACGATTTTGTATCAACACAGGTGACCGGTAACAGGACAAACTAAGCCAGAGCTGCGAATGAAGGCCCGTCTCCCCCACACAAGCATAGTAAAAAAGCATATAAGTTCAAACATAAAGATGACTGATTGCGTTATGAAAAGATGTATGTGCATCTTTTTCTAAACTGTTATTTGTCTTTAGAGTATTCCGCCAATGCTGATAATTAATTATTTTTTCCTTTCACTTTGG